ATCCTCCTTAAATCCTTGGTAGATTTTGCAGCCATGTGATATTAGTCATTATTTGTTTTATTTCTTCTAGTGATTTTATGTCCAATTTCCCTTCCTGTTCTTTTAGAATTTGTTGATAAGTTATCCAGTTTTCTTCTCCCAGTTCCCTTTTGTGTCTTGCCTCCAGGGGCGATATCCATAATGGAGTTCTAATGCATAGTCTTAATTTGTATTTCTCCCACGTTTTTATTAATGAAGCCCTAATAAAATGATTATTGAATTTTTTTTCTACCTTTCTTTTGTTATACCACATGTACCCGTGCCATCCGAACCTTAAGTCATGGCCTTCGAGATTAAGTAATTTGGCGTTTTTTAGTGTTGCCCATTCTTTAATCCCAACCAAGTTACAGGCTTCATAGTATGCCTTAAAGTTTGGTACACCTAGCCCACCTCTTTTCTTATCATCGGCTAAGATTTTTAAGCTTATTCTTGGCTTACCATTTTTCCAGATGAATTTGATTATGTCCGAATTCCATTTTTTGAAAAGGAAGTCGTTCCTAATGATTGGCAGCGTTTGAAAAAGGAAAAGAAGCTGTGGTAGTATGGTCATCTTAATTATTGCAATTCTTCCCAAGAGTGAGATATTCAGGTGTTTCCATCTCTCCAGATCTTTCTGTATTTTTTTCCATAGGACCTCATAGTTGTTTTTTATCAATTTTGAATTGTTTTGCGTAATAATCACTCCTAAATATTTTATTTTTTTCTCTATGTTTATTCCTGAAATTTCTTGGAGCAGACTCTTGGATTTCTGGTCCATATTTTTTACTAATAATTTGGTTTTTTGTTTGTTTAATTTAAAGCCTGCCAATCTGCCAAATCCATCAATCTTTTCTAACCACATCCTGATACTGTCCAGTGGGTTTTCTATGATGCATACAACATCATCTGCATATACTCTAATCTTATAATGGTACTTTAGTATTTTCATTCCTTTAAGGTTTAGATCCTTGTTTATGTTCTTGATTAGGGTGTCTATTATTAAGATAAATAAAAGTGGGGAGAGAGGACACCCTTGGCGGGTCTCCTGTGTGATTTGGATTGGTTCTTTAACTTCCTGACCGTTTATCATTAGGGTTGCCTCTTGTTGGGAGTATATGGCTTCAATCGCATTATTAAACTTGTGGCCTATGTCTAATTCTTTTAGTAGTAATTTTAGAAAATCCCAATTCACTTTATCAAATGCCTTTTCGGCATCTATAAATAGTAGAGCCATTTGCTTTTCGTTATGCATCTCATAATATTCAATAGTGTCAATCAGAATTCTTGTGTTGTCTTTTATTTGTCTATTTGGTAGGAAGCCTACTTGGTTTTCCGAGATCCAATTTAATAGAAAACCTTTAAATCTTTCAGCCAGAATTAATGTAAAAATTTTATAGTCTTGATTTAATAGAGATATTGGACGATAGTTTTTAATTTCCAGTGGGTCGGTTCCTTCTTTATGAATTAAGGTTATGTTGGCTTTCTCCCAGGTTTTGGGGATAGCTTTGTTTTCTAATATATTGTTTAAAATATCTTTCAGGAGGAGACTTATCTCATTTTTGAAGGTTTTATAGAATATGGCTGTAAAGCCATCCGGTCCTGGGGCTTTGTTTTTTTTTAATTTATTAATCGCCTTATCAATTTCGGACATGGTTATTGGGCCATTTAGCGCCTCTCTTTGAGTATCTGTGAGCTTTGTGAGGTTGGACTCACAGATGTATTTTGTAATTTCCTCTTTTGCTATATTTGTATTTTTATATAATTCTTTGTAGAATTTGATGAAATGTTGTTCTATGTTATTTTTTTCCGTATATATTTTCCCTTTAATTTGAATTTTTGTTATTAATTGTTTTTGTTTACGTGCTTTCAATTTGTTTGCCAACCATTTGCCTATCTTATTAGCATTTTGAAAATGATTGACCTTCATAAATTTCAATTGTTTCTCCAAATTTTCTGTCTGCGTTAGTTGTAGTTGCTTTTTCAGTGATTTTAACTTATTAACTAATTTTTGATCCTTGGGGTTCTTTTTTAAAGAGTCCTCTATCTTGTCTATATTTTCTGTAATCACTTTCACTTCCTTATTTTTATTCGCTCTGTTTATTGCATCTTGTTGAATAAAATAACCCCTCATTACTGCCTTCATTGCTTCCCATTGAGTGATTTTAGTGGTTTCTTCTCCTTTGTTCAAATCCAAATACTCTAAAAGTAATTTCCTATTTGCCTCTATGTCTTTTTCTTTTCTCAATAGATTCTCTTTTAATCTCCATTTATAGGTTATCTTCTCCCCCTTTATGGTAAATTCTAAAGCGCAGTGGTCTGAAAACAATCTGGCTGCAATTTTTAACTTAGTAATTTCGGTTAGTAACGTGCTTGTGGTCCAGGCCATGTCTATACGCGACCAGGATTTATGCCTGCCTAAATAAAATGTATAATCTCTCATGTTGCCTTTATGGTGTCTCCATATATCTAGTAAATATAAACCTTCTAGTTGTAGTATGACTTTTTTTGGGAGTAAGCAGGATTTGCTTTTTTCTTTAGATGTATCCGGAATGCTGTATGTTTTATCTAATTTTATATCTACTACCCCTTTAAAATATCCCAATAATAATAGCTCATCATAATCCTGCCTGTCGATTTCTTTCTTTAAATCCTTCATGAATTTCAATTTGGGACCATTGGGACAATAATTTCAATTTGGGACAATTGGGACTACTGCACTGGTATTGATAAGAAAAAAATAATTCATTTACATTCTGAATTAATGTTCTTATTTCTAGGTCTGCAATTGGTGTAAAGTCAGTAACACATATTTAGATAAGTAGTAATAAAGGCTATTGTGAACCAAAAATGTCTTAAGCTTTCCTGACAGATATATAATTTCAGGAATCATGGAAAGAAGAGATGGATGTTCAACAAATAATCCTTTATTGCTGCTTCCTGGTTGTGTCTGTTGTCTTCTGATGCGTTTAAGGCAGTGGTTCTCAACCTGTGGGTTCCTAGGTGTTTTGGCCTACAACTCCCAGAAATCCCAGTCAGTTTACCAGTTGTTAGGATTTCTGGGAGTTGAAGGCTAAAACATCTGGGGACCCACAGGTTGAGAACCACTGGTTTAAGGGCACATCTGTACTGTAGAATCAAGGCAGTTTGACACCACTCGAACTGCCATAATTCAGTGCTATGGAATCATGGGACTTGTAGCTTTTACGGTCTTTTGCCTTCTCTACCAAAAAGTGCTGGTGCATCAGCAAACTACAACTACCCAAATTCTATAGCATTGAGCCATGGCAATTCAAGTGGTAACAACCTGCATTAATTCTACAATGTAGATGCACACTAAGAGGCAAGTCCTAAAGGCCTCTAAGATAGAAGGTCTTGTGTTAAGATGTAGAAAGGCAAACTTTTGATTGTAGGCAGAGCAAAACCAATTTAACTAAACTATATATGTCTTTGAAGTCAAATGTTGCTCTGTGTTCTAGACTAGGGATCCAGCACCTGTATAACACAGGACAAATGAAAGCAGGCATTCATACATAAAACTGAAGATGGATTTGCCTCCTCTATGTAGTGACTCCTCTGGGTATTCCAGCAGGTTATTAGCAAAAAGTGAATTGGACAGATCTTATTTGTTTCAGATAGCCTCCCTTGTCTGGCAGTTTCTACATATGATGTGTTACCGGTGGCACCATCCCTAAGAAGCAATCAAAATAAAGGATTTATAGTCCAGTACATTGGGAAAGGGCCAGCTTGTTGAAGGCAATAGGGAGAAATAAAAGAAGTCTACTTCTGAGGAAGCCAGTGTGTGAGTGGGACACTTTGGTGTACAACCAAACATTCTATTCTATGTTATCCCCATAGTTTATTTTTTCTTAAAATAACTTGATTAATCATCAATACAATAAATCAAATCCCAATTTTCCCATCAAAATCAATGAAAGAATTCTTAAATCCAACATTTCTAATGCAAATTTCCTCAATGTATATGTGTGTGTGGGATGCATGCCCTATGAGTTCAAAGGTTTGACTACAGTGTGTTAAGAAATATAGATTCTGGATGTTTCTTAACTTCAATATGTTCTGCTACCACCCATCCTACAGAGTGAGATCAGAAAGTCTTAAAAGAGATGGAAGATTTTTAAACAATAAGGGATATGGGATAACATTTACAATGGAAAAATGCTAGCTTTGTAATCATATTCATGTTTTGCATTCACAAAAAGGTAATGTAGTCTACTGGAAAGATTTTGGCTGTTTGATATATATAAAATGACATTTCTCTTAAATTAAATTTCTTTAATAGAACTCTGAGTCTGGCAAAAAAGTGGGATGTCACTGAGAATCAATCAAAAAGGAGGAAGGATGTTCTGAATTCATCAATAGATTTTTGAAAAAGTTGTCATCTGATGAATTCCAGCAACATTTGCCATCTTCCTCATTTAACTCTTTGATCTCAAACACCTACATTTTGGTTTCCTTGTAGTTTTTGGACATAAGGTTGAAAAAATATATAAAGCTGAAAATAATTTACAATGGTTAGAGTTTAACTTAAAATCACATCAATCAGTTTTAGGCTTTGCATTTGTTATGCTTTGAAAATTGGGTCTGGAACAACCATTATGGACACACTCTATCCAAACATGTGTGCTTTACAGTAATTGCTCACTAGATATTTTGGACTTCAGCTCCTAAAACTTCTGATCATTGGTTATGTTAGTTGAATCTTACAGAAGCTGAAATCCAAAATGCCTGAGGGACTACTGAGAAGAACTGTAATTGTATGTAAGAGTTGGGTAAATGCCAATGTCCTATTTGTATCTTGCAATGAGAAGCCCATGTGTGATTAGGGCAGAGATGTTGTTTTGGACAGGAACCCTCATCTGATTATGATAGCTGAGCTGAATGAGACTTGAGGTTAAAAACATCTTGAGACTACTTAGTTTATTTCATTCATTCCTTTGATTTATACAATCCCTTTCTCCCAACAGAGGACTCAAGGCAGCAAAAATGTGGCCAAGAATGATCCATCCATAGAAGGCATGCCAAGGTTTCAGGTAATTTGGTGCTACTTACAATTGGCCAAAGGCCAATGGAGGAAAGAGATTCTGAGGTCTCTACTGAACCCTGTTTAATGTTAATAAACCATCTCTTTGGTTAATGGCCACATATGCGTCACCAAAAAGAGGACAAAATAATGCACTGACTTGGATAAAGCTCAATATGTTAATTTAAGCTTTAGGCTGGGTTTTAAAATATATTTTTTAAAAAATTACAATACATTTCACAGGAGTGGGGAAGAACTGTGGTCAAATGACCTGGACTGAGTCTGCTCTCCCAAGTGTTAATCGTAGATTGGCAATGTCAGTATTCCTGTCATACTCAGTTGCTTTGAGACACCTGTGGGGGAGATAAAGCAGGGTACTACTACTACTACTACTACTACTACTAATGCTTCTTTGCCTTTAGAATAGATGGGACTGGGCAGCCCTTCATACAGAGGACACTTTCAAATAGAGGACCACACTCTGGCAGCACTTCCAGCTGTGGTGGGGGTTGTGCAACCACACAGATGTTGTTGTATTCCAAGTCTCAGGGTGCATCTGCAAGGTAGAATTAATGATTCCATGGGAGTTGTAGTTTTACAACTTGTCTCATGGATAAGCTGTCCCCACAAAGATAACTAGCTTTCATTTTTAAGTAGATCTCTAACCTTTGTAGATGCCAAGATACAAGGCAAATGTGCAATTGTTTTTCTCATTTCTCCATAAACAATTAAGATGCTCCAACAGTGTTTTAGCCATGTGATTAAATTGATGGAACTTCCTCATTCATTTTAAAGATTCACATTTCTTTCTTCCATTGTGAAAGTATAATGAGGTATAAAAAGTAAAAACCTGGCTCTGAGACTGAGACTGAGCTTTCAGAGAATAACGCAGTGCAATAGTAGATATGGAATATGTACAATGATGACGGCTTGACTTTGGACTACGATTTCTGGATGGCATGGTTTTAATATTGAATGTAATGCTTTAAATGTTTAACATGTATTGATTTGAAATTGAATTTATTTTTAAGTTTAATGTTTTATATGTGTTTTAACCCATATTTGCCATATGCAAGCTGCCTTGAGTTCCCTTCAGGGTAGAGAAAGGTGGGGTATCAATAGGGCAAATAAATAAATAAATAAAACACCACTGAACATAACAGGGACTGCTATTGTAACCACCTTGTCCTGCATATTTTTCCATTATGGTTATTATGAAGGGGCTAGGAAACACCTATGTTTCCAATTATTCAGCTTTTCCCATTTTCCCCTTGAGTCTCTTTTAACTATAACTGTTCCAAAGCTCCAGCAAGTAATGTAGCTAGTCATTTAACTTTATTTACTGTATATTTGAAATGTTTCATATGTCTTTTTACCAACTGTTTGTTGTAAGCAGGGGATTTTATGATCTGTTGACTACAAATAAAGCTGATTAAGTGATTTTCCCACATGGGAAGTAAATGTTGCCCCCTTCATTTAAAAAGGCAATGATTTAGTTTAATGCAGTCATTATTTGGCAAAAGGGTGTCTGCTTTCTTCCCATCCACTCAGGGGCAATAGCAAAAAAAAAAATCATTTGTGATGTTGCCCCAAGTATTGAGGAAAGCATGTCTGACTTTAGTAATTATGGGTGAATTATTATGATGTTCAGGCGATAGGGCGACAAGGGAGATAGACAGACTTTGTATTTCTAGGTGCAAAGATTACTGCAGATGCAGACTGTGGCCAGGAAATCAGAAGACGCTTACTTCTTGGGAGGAGAGCAATGTCCAGTCTCGATAAAATAGTAAAGAGTAGAGACATCAGACTGGCAACAAAGATCCGCCTAGTCAAAGCCATGGTATTCCCTGTAGTTACCTACGGATGTGAGAGCTGGACCTTAGGGAAGGCTGAGCGAAGGAAGATTGATGCTTTTGAGCTGTGGTGTTGGAGGAAAGTTCTGAGAGTGCCTTGGACTGCGAGAAGATCCAACCAGTTCATCCTCCAGGAAATAAAGCCCGACTGCTCACTGGAGGGAAAGATACTAGAGACAAAGTTGAAGTACTTTGGCCATATCATGAGGAGACAGGAAAGCCTAGAGAAGACAATTATGCTGGGGAAAGTGGTAGGCAAAAGGAAGAGGGGCCGACCAAGGGCAAGATGGATGGATGGCATCCTTGAAGTGACTGGACTGACCTTGAGGGAGCTGAGGGTGGTAACGGCCGACAGGGAGCTCTGGCGTGGGCTGGTCCATGAGGTCACGAAGAGTCGGAGACGACTGAACGAATGAACAACAATTATTATTATTATTATTATTATTATTTCACTAGAAATCACATTCAAAGCACTCTATTTCTTCAACATCGTCTCTTCTTTTAAGACAATCTAATATAATAGAGACTGGTTTGTAAGATGGGAGGGTCAATAATTTAAAAACTTTGATACATCTTTGTAGTGAAGGCAGATAGTTCAAATGAGTTTTATTATATTATTGATTTTTTCCTCCCTATTTCCTTTTTTACAGCAAATCAGAAAAAGGACTTCGTTGAACAGAAAACCAATACAGAATGAGACAAAACCACATCTGAATCCATATTTTGACTGTATGGCTTAGTCTTCTTTTTAATTTTTGAAGGTCTTTGTTAATGGTCTGATCAGAGCCAGATTCTGATGAATAAAATGTAATGGGGAGGAGGGAGGGAGGATAGAAAAGATCATTGTGCATAATGTCAAACAGTTGGATAAGAGAGCTGGAGAAAGCAGGCTTTGTTCAGTCTGATGTCAAATTGGCTGTATCTCCTAGTCCTTGAAATTATCTAATTGCAGAATATTTTTAGTTCCATGTCTGGGCTAGGAATCTTTAACCCAATGTCTCCCTTCTAGTTTTAAAATCTGTCTGTTATAATTGAAAAGTCAATACGATGAAAATGCCGTTGTTTGATTCAGAGAGTGTCTTTAATAAAAGCATTTGCAGGGTTAAATGTGAGCATCTATTTTTGTTCAGACCATAAAAAGGATGAAGTCATAGCGTGCTGTCATTTGCATGCTGCTTCTAGCTATGCATAACCATGCATTGGCTCCAGCCTATTCTTCTTGTATTAAGACAAATTCACAAATGAATGGATCTACAATTAATTCATCTTCCCCCCTCTTTCCCCTGTCTTTTCTGTATTTGAGACTCAGGGCAGGATGTAAAAGTTAAAAGAGATAAACATTCAAATTTACATTAGAAATATAAATTTAAAAATTAAGCACAACTAAAAACAGACCATTAAATAGAAGACAAAATAATATAAACAACAGAGCACATGAAAGATACCTTTTGGTCTGTTTTTTTACATAAAAAAATAATGTTACCGAAATGGTTACACCCCTATAATATAAGGATAGTGTAGAAGGGGCCTTACTTTTCTGTTTTAAGGATTGTCATTTCTCTGTTTGGTTTAAAGAAAAAGGACCATAAGTTTTGGGAACAGAGGTTTAGAATCTTTCCACCAGTTGTTAATGGCTGGATGCATTGTCACCTGGAAAGAGTTTTCCCCATTATGGTAAAATATACTTCTTTGGCTGGATCTACACTGCCCTTTATCTCAAGATCGGATCCCAGATTATCTCCTTATTTCAGATTATCTGGCAGTGTAGACTCATATAATCCAGTTCAAAGCAGATAAACTGGAATCAGATTCTGGGATAAAGGATAGCGTAGATCCCACCATAAATTGTAGTAATTGTTCCAGGTCTAATTGCTGGTCACAAAAAGAGCATACTCATTAAACCCATGGAACTTTCATAAGTATTGACTTACTGAGATACCATTGATTCACAGAATCTTTTCTAACTAGAATGAACACTTGTACACCATTTAGGCAGTTATTTCTAAACTTGCATCTATCTATCTATCATCTATCTATCTATCTATCTATCTATCTATCTATCTATCTCACTTAGTATATACATAGTTTATAGTACATATGAGCCCTTCTTTATCCTACATATGAAAATTCATTTCATTTTGGTGATGTGTGAGTGGAAATCAAGATATTTCATATGATGGCACAGTATATAAGACAGCCATTCATTGCTATTGCTTTGATCCCACCGTATTATGGGCTGAGTAACCCTTTAACTTAGTGGCATGCATAACTTTTGTTGCTGTTCATTTGTTCAGTCATTTCCAATTCTTCATGACCTCATGGACCAGCCCACGCCAGAGCTCCTTGTCAGCCGTCACCTTCCCCAGCTCCTTCAGAGTGAAGCCAGTCACTTCATAACTTAATCAAAGTAATTTCATGTCAGCCCAAACAAGCAGCCTTGAGGAATGATGACTAATACAGTGTTGTGTCATCACAATTAAAAATTTATTTATTATTTATTACGGTCGCTTATACCCCGCCCTTCTCACCCCGGGGGGGACTCAGGGCGGCTTACACAAACAAGGCACAATTCGATGCCCACATTACATGACAACAAAAACATAACATCTGTAACAATAGCAATTATAGCAATGATAACAATTAACATAAGCAATCATTATTATCGGCAAAACATCCAAAAAACCCGTAAAAGCAATTAAAACAATTAGGTCAAAACCAGCACCTTGAATTGTGCTCGGAACTGGATTGGCAGCCAGTGGAGCTGACACAACAAGGGAGTTGTGTGTTCCCTGTATGTCGCTCCGGTGAGCAGTCTGGCTGCCGCTCGTTGGACCAGTTGAAGTTTCCGAACAGTCTTCAAGGGCAACCCCACGTAGAGTGCGTTGCAGTAGTCTATACGGGATGTAACAAGAGCGTGGACCACTGTGGCCAGATCAGACTTCCCGAGGTACGGGCGCAACTGGTGCACACGTTTTAATTGCGCAAAAGCTCTTCCGGCCACCGCTGAGACCTGAGGCTCCAGGCTCAGCGATGAGTCCAGGATCACTCCCAAGCTGCGAACCTGCGACTTCAGGGGGAGTGTAACCCCATCCAGTACAGGCTGTAACCCTATACCCTGTTCGGCCTTACGACTGACCAGTAGGACCTCTGTCTTGTCTGGATTCAGTTTCAATTTGTTAGCTCTCATCCAGTCCGACACAGCAGCTAGACACCGATTCAAGGTCTGGACAGCCTCCTTGGTGACAGGTGAGATTTATCTGCTAGTAAATCCTATTCTAGGAGAAATTGGGAAAATTCAATAAATAAATAAATAAATATTAATGACATTGAAGTCTCAGAAGACTATGCAGGAACCAGAGAGTTGGAGTACAAACTGAAAATAAGCAGTATAGAGAGGTTTTACAACCACGAGCAAGTTTGTTAGACAGAGCCATTTGAAGGCTTGTTCAAAAACTGTTCTATGAAATCTTCAATCTAAAGAGAGTAACCTTTTCTGTCTAGGGTTGCACTTGTCGGGTTTTTTTGGGGGGGGGGAAGAGAAAGGAGAACAGTGGGAGTAGGAGAACCTAGCAGTGGAGACAGCATCTCCCTCCCTCCCCATTCCTTTTTTTTCTTTCCTCACTCCTCACCCACCTTTTCTCTTCTTCATATAGATCATTCCTACCCGAGGTCCAAACAGATCTCTTTCAGAGGGTTTTTGAGGCCAATAACCCCATATAGCTTCTTACCCTGTTTTTTTAAATAAATATGATTTAGGAATAGCTAAATCAAAATGTGAGATCATTAACAGGAAATTACAGGTTAACTGAGTTCCATTTATATTTTCAGGAATACTTAACATATAAATTTTTCATGATCCTTCTACATTTCACAACTTAGCCTCTCTCTCTCTCATATTGGCACATTTATTCGATCAATACTCCAGCAAAGGCTTTCATGCTCTCAGTCTACGTGTGTGACTCCATCTACTTTTCACTTGGATTCTTTGAGCCAACAGAGGCAAACATACTCTTTTAACTCTGTGCCTTGAAGCATGACTTCTCATTCATCATTTGCTATTGTCAGAGGCTGACATACAGTAAGCATGGCTATCTCAAGAAATGCTAGGTAAATAGTTTTTGAGAGGAGAGATAGGAAAACGTTCCCAGTTTGCTTACTGCTCTATAGACAAATATCAGCACATTCCCTGTATCCTATGGAATCAGTCCTGAGTATCAGAAAACCATACATGAAAGACTGATTTTTCATTTGTCTTGTCTTAAGTAGTAAAGGTAAAGGTTTCCCTTGACATTAAGTCTAGCCATGTCTAACACTGGGGTGTGGTGCTTATCTGCATTTCTAAGCCGAAGACGCCTCCAAGGTCATGTGGCTAGTATGACTGCATGGAGCGCTGTTACCTTCCTGCTGAGGAGGTACCTATTGATCTAACAGCGGGAGCTCACCCCACTCCCTGGATTCGAACCACCAACCTTTCAGTCAGCAAGTTCAGCAGCTCAGCAGTTTAACCTACTGTGCCACCAGGGGTCTTGAGTGGTAGCAAAAGAACCTTCAGGTGTAGCTGATCTGCAAGAGGAAGTAATTCCTTGGAAAGTCTTCATAAATGCTACAGATATTTAAAATTATATTTTCAAATATATTGTAAAAACTGGAAATGTCAACATGATGTTACAAAAATCCCAACATGATGAAAGTGTACTATATTCTTTGTCTTTCCTTTGCAAATTAGATGGCTGCTTGTCAGGGGATAAATAATATATGCTGTCAGAATAATTACAATAGATTTGTTGTGGAGATAGTGCTAATGTACCATGCATGCATGGCTATTCTTCATAACAGTTTGTTACAGAAGAATTAAATACATTTAACAGGATATGATACAGATTACATATCTCGTTGTGTTTTTACCTGTCACTCCCAGAAAAATGCTAAAATAATGCAAAACCCACGTGATTTTGATAAATATGCATAGTATTTTGAAGATACCTTAGCAGCATCAGATCTGTACCAATCATGAAAAAAGAGTATAATTTTAAAGTTTAAAACAGTGGAAAAGTATAACCAGTTAGCCACATATGATTAAGGTATTAGAAAGAACATGTTCTATTTTTTGAAGTCCACAGAGGATTTCCTAAAGATGTATTTTCCATGATATGTCAATATTTGTAAAAGTTTGTATTAATACTTGGATTCTTGCACAAACAAATTCACCATAGATGTTTTTCAGGTCTGGGTAATGTGGAATCAACAAAGTCTGGTGTTATGAAAACCAAGTATAACCAGGTTGATTTAACTACTATTTCCCACTGAATCACTTCAGGCTTGCTAAATTAATAGTGAGAAAATGTATACACATGGCTTCTACCCGCTCCTTCTCTGATTGTGTATTAATACTAGCTAAATTTGTTCAGCAGCTGGGTTGATCTAGACGTATATCAATCTTGTTTCTGGCCTGGCTATGATACAGAGGCAGCTTGATTGATAGCCTATTCAAGGAATTAGACAGAGAAAGTGTATCCCTCATGGTTCCGCTGAACCTCTTCTGAGTAACCTGGCAGCACTGCAGCTCCATTTCTTCCTGGGGGGGGGGGGAGAATCCAGAAAGTGGTGCTGGAACACTTCTGTCTGATTCCTTGGCCATAGACCTATGTGGTCCCTCAGGTTTCTATATTGTATCCCATGCTAGTCAATTTGTTTAACAGCATTTTGGGTTCCAGTGCCAGGAGTATGTGAAGGACACCCAGGACCTCTTCACATGATGCTTTTGGTCCGTGCCATTGCACTGCTAAAGGGAAGGCACATGGGGAGGGGGTTGTCTCATAGTGCCCTGTGTGCCCTCCCTCCTCACCTCATCATACAGTGAGGACAGGACAAAAGGGGGAGGAAAGTGCGAGTAGCTCCATCGGACCTACCCAAACAACCCTTTCCTCTCTATAGTGGTGGAGAAAGAGCCTTTTGGCACTTCCACCCCACTTTGGGATGAATGTGGGCAGGGCCTGCTATGCATCGTGTGATGGCGTATGGCAGGCTCCATCCAAGTCACAGAGAAAAGCAGCAAAATGGGGCAAAATGTCCTATGTGAAGAAGTCCTCACTTCTACTATTCCTTCT